GGGCACAGTGGCTCACTCCTGTAATCCAGCACTGAGAGGCCAAGGTGGGAGGATTGCTTGAGCTCAAGACCAGCCTGGACTACATGGCGAAACCTCACCTCTACCAAAAATACAAAAAGTAGGTGGGCATGGTGCATGCACCTGTGTTCCCAGCTACTTGTGAGGCTGAGGTGAGAGGATTGCTGGAGCCCAGGAAGTCAAGGCTGTAGTGAGCAGAGATCATGCCACTGCACTTCAGGGAAGGTAACAGAGCAAGACTCTGTCTCAAAAAAGGGTGTGGTGGCTCATGCCTGTAATCCCAGCACTTTGGGAGGCTGAGGAGGGTGGATCGCTTGAGGTCAGAAGTTTGAGACCAGCCTGGCCAGCATGGTAAAACCCTGTCTCTACCAAAAAGAAAATTCTCCAGGTGTGGTGATGCACACCTGTGATCCCAGCTACTTGGGAGACTGCGGCAGGAGAATCTTTTGAACCCAGAAGCTGGAGGTTGCAGTAAGCCGAGATTGCGCCACTGCACTCCAGCCTGGGCAACAGAGCAAGACTTTGTCTCAATAAATAAATTAAAAAAATAAAAATAAAATAAGACGACGAAAATCTTGTCACATGCTACAACGTGGATGAACCTGGAAGACATTATACAGACTGAGCAAAATGGACCAGTCACAAAGGACAAATACTGTATGATTGCACTTATATGAGATATCTGGGGTAGTCAAAATCATGGGAACAGAAAGCAGACAGGTGGTTTCCAGGGGCTCAAGGAAGGGGGAAGTGGGGAGTCTGTGAGATGGTTATAAGGTTTCAGTTCTCAGGATGAAAACGTTCTAGAGATCTGTTATACAACAATGTGAATAAGGTGAATGCTAGTGGCCCGTACAATTAAAAATAGTTGAGGATAAAATGTATGTCTTCCGTTTTTTACAATAATTAATAAAAATTTATTTTATTTTACTTTATTTCTTTATTGAGATAGAGTTTCGCACTTGTCACCCAGCTGGAGTGCAGTGGCATGATGTCAGCTCACTGCTACCTCTGCCTCCCAGATTCAAGCGATTCTCCTGCCTCGACCTCCGAGTAGCTGGGATTACAGGTGCCCCCTACCATGCCCAGCTAATTTTTGTATTTTTAGTAGACAGGGTTTTCACCATGTTGGCCAGGCTGGTCTCAAACTTCTGACCTCAGTTGATCCGCCTACCTCAGCCTCCCAAAGTGCTGGGATTACAGGCATGAGCTACCATGCCCAGCTATTTACTTATTTATTTATTTAGAGACAGAGTTTCTTTCTCGTTGCCCAGGCTGGAGTGCAATGGCGTGATCTTGGCTCACTGCAGTCTGCTAACTGCAACCTCTGACTCCCGGGTTCAAGTGATTCTCCTACTTCAGACCCTCATGCAGCTGGGATTACAGGCACGTGCCACCATGCCAGGCTAATTTTTGTATTTTTAGTAGAGACAGTTTTCACCATGTTAGTCAGGCTGGTCTCGAACTCCTGACCTCAGGTGATCCAACTGTCCCGGCCTTCCAAAGTGTTGAGATTACAGGCGTGAGCCACCTCACCTGGCTGTTTTTGTTTTTTGAGACAGAGTTTCACTCTTATTGCCCAGGCTGGAGTGCAATGGCTCGATCTCGGCTCACTGCGATCTCCGCCTCCCAGGTTCAACTGATCCTCCCCCGTCAGCCTCCCAAGTAGCTGGGATTATAGGCACAAGCCACCATGCCAGGCTAATTTTTGCATTTTTAATATAGACGGGGTTTCACCATGTTGGCCAGGCTGCTCTCAAGCCCCTGAGCTCAAGTGATTCTCTGGCCTCTGCCTCCCAAAGTGCTGGATTACTTGGCCACTACACCTAGCCAATTTTATGTTTTTTTTTTTTTAACCACCATTTAGAAATAAATAAAAAACACATACATAAACACATAAATGAATCAATGCAGTGGAATTCTTGGCACACTGCTGCCCCAAAGACTGCTGCTATTCCCTGAAGGAGGAGACGGATTTGCTGTGGTCTGCTGGGGTCTGGCTGCCTACTCTGTTCTGTAGGAAGATAAGATCAGGGCCACATCCTGCAGTCCCCCCAATACTTCTTGCTTTGATGTCCAGCACAGCCAGTCTCAAGCTTTGGCTTTCAAAAACAATGGTGACTTCAAGTGATCCACCCGCCTTGGACTCCCAAAGTTCTGGGATTACAGGCGTGAGCTACCTCGCCCAGCCTCCCATTTTAATATTCTTAAATTAGGCCAGGCTTTGTGGCTCATGCCTGTTATCCCAGCACTTTGGGAGGCCGAGGCTGGCAGATCACTTGAGGCCAGGAGTTTGTAGAGCAGCCTGGCCGACATGGTGAAACCCTGTCTCCCCTAAAAATACAAAAATTTGCTGGGCGTGGTATCGCTTGCCTGTAATCTCAGCTACTTGGAAGGCTGAGGCAGGAGAATCACATGAACCTAGGAGGTGAAGATTGCAGTAAGCCAAGTTTGCACCACTGGACTGT